TATTATTATGCTTTTAATGGACTCTGGCCTTGTTTAATTGCCGTTCTATACCCATCCTGTAAAATACTGTGCACATCAGCCTTTTAGTGGTTCATAATTATATTACTTTTGATTTTCTCTCATTTTCCCCCCTTCAGCCATGATGATCCCCTCCCCACATCTTGTGACCCAGAGCCCTTGCTGCGCAGAAATGACATGAATAGATTTCAACTTTCCTGTGATTCAGACCGACAGATTAAAAACTAATTATTCTCTGTAATATTTTTACAATAAAAACTAAGTTGAAATGATTTATGTACACTTCCAGCCAACACATTTGCAATTCAAGGTTAAAATTGTTCTTGAAACAGCACCAGTTAAAATGCAATTACAACTCCCCAAGCAGGGATGAAAGAAGGAAATGTTTTACATGTTCACTTCAAAAGTTAAAAAGTCCATTTAATATTAAAGAAATAAAGAAAAAAAAACTTTCATTTGTTTTCAATAAATGATGCAATCATCACTCATTATAGTAAAGATAAATCCGAGTATGTGTATTACCTGAAAGATGAACAAAAAGTACAGGCCTTGTGAGGTGGATCCCAGTTTCTCCTCACACTTGCCTTCTTGTTCTGGTTACCATCTTGGGTTTTTGTTTTTCTTTTTCTTCATGTTGGGTTGTTTCTTTCCACAGTGCAGAGAAGTGCAAATGGATTGGTATCACCGACAGTGAAGCAGCAGTGGTGGGCACCCTGCGTGGCAGGGCCTTGGGGGTCAGCAAAAAGGAACTGGTTAGGAACTTCTCTATCATCCAGTTCGGTTTTTCCACCACAGTCTTGCTCTTCCAGTGAGTAAGCTGAGGCCCTGTTACGCATGTGGCCTAAAGTGACCGAGAGCATGAAAAACAGAGTCACGCAGATCCGGGCTTCTCATCCTCACGTCACCTCTCAGTTTCTGTGTGGTCTCGGGCAAGTTGCTTAATGTGTCTAAGCCCGGGTTCCTCATCAGCCAAAAATAATAAGAATATGATAATGCCGCCGAGATCACTGGATTTCCGTGAGGATTAAGAGACAGCATCTGTCACTCTTAGTCCATTGCCTCATGCGTAATCAAGGCTCAGTAAATATTCATTACTAGTGCTAGTGATGTCATAATAATATTATTAATAATGTCACTTTAATGATTTTTTTTTTGAGCTAAGAGTAAGCTGGAAACCAAAACAGTGTTTGTAAAGTGCTTAACAAAGTACCTGGCACATAATGGGTTTGATAACTAGACATTGTAAGGTGGAAATACGGGTTATAAATAAACCTAGATACGTTACGTGTGTGTAACGTATATAGTAAGTACATTACACATGTATAATGTATATAATATATATGTATAACGTGGATTACAAGTACTGTAATAATATGTGTAACACACGTATAATGTACCTATGTATGTAGAATGGTCACTGTAAATATACGTATATAAATTTTAAGGAAGAAAAGGCAGGAGGAGCTGTAGAGCATCTGACAGTTGTTGTAAGCCTGGCGTGCAATGTAATTACCACATTCCTCATAAAATTAAAAAAAATAATAATAATGACAGTAAAATTTATTGAGCACCTCTCGTGTATCAGGAGTTATTCCAAACACTTTATATTATAGTAACTCATTTGATAGCAACAGAAAGCACCTGAGATGGGTAATGATTATACACGTAAGAAAACTGAAGCTCAGAAACAGTAAATGCTTTGGCTGAGGTCACATGTTTAGCAAATGGGGTTTTAAAACAGGGTTTTTAACCAAGTTAGTGAGAGTAAGCTTTTTTTGTTTTGTTTCTAACATTTTTTTTTATTGACACGTAGGTGATCTGCAGAATTGTGTTAGTTTTGAGAGTAAGTGTTTTGCATTTGGAGAAGAAGGCTCAGGCCAGATCCTTAGGGCTCCATGGTGAGAATGGGAGGCTGTTGAAAAGCATTGGACAGAGGTGCGTGACATGATCCGATGTACATCTTAGAAGGATCACTGGCTGTGTGGCTGTTAACTAGATCTAGAGGAGGCAGACAGATTGAGCACCAAACACGTGGACAGTCAGAGGCCAGAGAGACACAACTCTGGAGTCTGTTCAGTGGCTCCGGTGTTGCACAGGGCAGCCATGCTGCACGGCTCTGGGAGGCATCTTCTCCTTCTAAATAGCATCCCTCAGAATCCAACAAAGTGGAGGTCCAGATGCTCAGGGTCACCGTTAGCAAGCGTGGTTTACAAGGCAGGGGTAAGGACCACGACAGACCCTGAAGCAGCTATGTCATGAGTATCGGTAAATTTCTGGGCCAGATGATCGCTGATCACCTGCCCCAATGAGAAGCATAGACCCCCCTTGCCAGTCCAGGGATCATGGAGGTTTCCACTCAAGAGCCAAGCATCCCAGTTACCAACAAGAGAGGCCACTGGCAATTTTCATTCAACTTAGAGGAATGACGATGTTTTAGTAAAAATGCCGCCAGCCTACTGAGGGACATTTGATGAGTCTGCTAAGCTTGTCCTCCGTTTTCCTCTTCTTTTACACTCCTGTCAAAGGAAGCTGTGCTGCAGGTGACAGTATGACATCGTCCAGGTCATCAGTTCACGCTCAGAGCCGTCACATTCTCCCTTTGAGAAATCTTTGGGCAAGTTGAGTTAATGACAGGGAGGTGGCCGTGCTTTTAAGCCATAGCACGTCATTAAGCTGTAAGAGCAATTAAAGCAAAAGCATTTTTGTGTTAAATTCAGAACCTGCCTCTTTTTACAGTTCTATGACTAATTCTTTCCTGAGGCATCAGAAATAAACTTTTTTAGGAGAACTAAATGCTAGCTGTGAACGAAGCAAGTTTTGGAGAGAATAAACAAGCCTTCAAGTCGCCTGGCGGAGTGTCTTCCAGGCCATCCTTTCCTGGCATCTCAGAGATTAAAGTGTTTTAGGACAGATGGCTGTCTCTTCCAGAAAATTTCCGGTCTAACTTGCTATGGATGGCAGCCCCATTCATTTTTCTAAAAAAAAAAAAAAGTCACTGTGAAAGTTAAGGAATTCCTCTATTCAACTCACGTCTCTAAGGCTTTAATTTAAACCAATTTCCTCTTATTTGGCCTTCTCTGGACGTGGAGAAGAGCTGGTCAGCATCTTCCACGTAACAAGGCCTTTAATCAAATTACTCCTTACTCGCCTTTTCTTCAGGCGAAACAGTTCCACTTCCTTTAACCTTTCCACACAGCATTTTCCCTCCGTCCCTTTAATCATTTGGCTTGGTCTTCCCCTAGACAATCTCCAGAGGGTCTTGGTTAATTCCTTTCACGTAACTTTAGGAAGTTATTTTCTCTGAGAACATCATGAGAGCTTCTCTCATTTTCGGATGCCTTCAGTTCTGATTTCGGTAGTCCCATCCAGTGAGTACACCTTGCTAGGGTGAGATGATTTTTCTTTTCAGCACCTTTAATTCTTTCCATCCGAGTGGCTCCCATTTGGACAGAGTCAGCAGCCCAGTTTCCTTATTGCCTTTCTCCCGTCGTTATACATAAACAAGGAGTTTAGCACCAGAAGCAGACCATTTTCTGTGTCACTCTCTGAGGCTGTTTGGGAAACGCTGGTTTTAGTCCAGGCTTCAAAATGCCCCTCTGGAAACCCAGAGTGTGATTCTCTGGTTTATCTTATACATTGGTGTTAGCCCTGTCCTGGTCCCGGAGGTTGAGGGTAGCCGCTCAGTGCCTGCTTGGGAAGCGTTTTTCTAGGACCACTCCACCTCATCAGGCCCTCCTACAGAAAACATTCTGATTTAACATTCAAGGAGCCAGATGGACCAGAAGGAGTTCATTCAGTTTCTCTCTTCTTTATTTAATTTTCTTCCCCCAGCTCAGGGAGTTGGTATTTTTGGTGGCTGGGCATTTTACGTTACGCTCCATTTCTTTGGTGACAAGAATAACTTTGTGGTCCATTGAAAACGAGTCTCTGTCCCTCGGCCTCTGCTCTGTTCCTCTTATATAACAGAATGACCTTTTTGTTTGTTTGTTTGTTTTTTTAAATAAGCAGAATGTTGAAAGCCACAAAGAATCTTTTTTGACAGGAGAAATATGATCCTGGAGTCCTGAATTTTTTTCTTCATGTTTCCATAAAAATTTGGACAGCAGTCTTGTGGAAAAAGTTTACTGATAATATTAATAATGATGAGAGCAGTTGATCTTTACTAAGGGCTTACTGGCCGCTAAATAATTTACATGGATTTTAATCTTTTCAACAGCCTTAAGACAGGTGGCACTAGTACTGTACCTGTTTTACAGAGGAAGAAACTTGAGTTGCAGAAAGCTTGAATAATTTGGCTGTGACTGCTCATGTGGTTAATGTTGAACTTGGGCAGTTTAACCTGCGCACCGTGGATTTAGCAACTTTGTGACTTAGCAAGTGCTGTACTAGATCCCTAGTATGTAAGAAGGTGCTTAGTAAGGGTTAAATTGCAAATACTTACGTTCCAGGAATTGTTTGAAGCACTGTACAATGATTATCTCATTGAATGCTGACCCAAACCCTGTGGGGTCGATGCTGCTATAATTCTCACCGTTTTATTGAGGAAGAATTGAGGCTCAGAGAAGTTGAGCAACAGAGGGGTCACAGAGCGGTTGAGCCGTGGAGCTGGAGTTTCCACCCAAGCCATCTGGCTCTAGAACCTACCAGTTTCACCGTAACTCTGGGCTTCTTCCTGTGGTATTGGAGCTCTTGGCAGCGGGAGGCCCTGCAGAAAGCCTGGGACCTCTTTATGAGACACAAATCGCAAGAGCTGTGTCCACCCTCAAAGGAAGTGTTTTCCTGGTTAGTTGGCGATACAGAAAGCACAGCCAGATAAGCCCCGTGGCAGGGATCCCAGCAGGCAGCCTGTGTCCTGCTGGGTTTGTCCCACTTGGCATCGGACACTTCCTCCCATGTTGTGTTCTTGTCACCCCTTCTGGCTTTGGACCACTTAGCTTCCTAACCAGTGTTCTTTTTTCTCCCTTTTCTGGTTCTCTGTCCAGCTCGAGGCTTTTTATTCCATCTTCACCACGGAGCAGCAAGACCACGTCAAGTCTGTAGAGTATCTGAGAAATAACTTTCGGCCACAGCAGAAACTGAACGACAGAGTGGTGTCCAAGTCTGCCGTCCGCGACGCCTGGAACCACGACGTGTCAGACTTCTTAGACAACCCGCTGGGGACAGAAGCCTCTAAAGGTACATTTGGATTAAGTGCCCTTGCCCAGAGGAAGATTCCTTATCATAAATTACTTTAAATTAAAAGGAGTTCAAAACCAGCCAAGAATTGGAACTTGGCATTAAAAGCATCTGTTTCTCTGCTGAAAGAGACTGGTCTGGATGATAAATAGAAGCAGTTGTGGGAATAATTTGAGTTAAATAGATAGGTTCCAAGTTGCACTTCTGACTAGTAAGAGATCAGTCCTTCTCTCTGTCATTTAACCTTGTGGCATCAACACCGACTAGTTGATGTCTAAAGAAAGCTTTCTGGTGTCTTGTTAACTGTTTGCCTGCTGCGATCTAGTGTTTGTCTCTGAGCTTAAACAGTTGGACCTCAGACTTGCTCCCCTGTCCCAATCTGCAGCTGTCTTACTAACATCCATACCAGGCAAGAACCCCTCTCCAGGTCTCAGACGCCCCCACTAGACATCAGGTGGCCTTTTAAAAGTCTCATCTAACAGTTCAGTTCCCATATCCCACAAACATCAGTTTTCAGATGTCTTCATCTTTTCCATTTCTACTTTCTCATATGAAATGGCCGTGAATTTTTCTCCCAGGAAACTGGGAAGATGGATTCTACCCTCACAACTCAAACTTCAAGCTCTGTGATTTATCATAATCGTGTCTTGGAGCTCAGGAAACACTTAGAGGAGTAAGGCTCATCAAAGTCTTAGTATTTAGAAGGGAGAAAGGAATAAGAAGGAATTTCCTTTGGGTGTGAAGAGATGGAGCTTTCCCAGGCCAGTGCTCGCCTTTGAAATTGTGAGCTCGGGGAATTTGGGAAGCACTTGTCATTTATGGACACTGGAAGCCAACTGTGTTATTTTCAGTATGGTAAGTTACATGAGGAGGCTGTGTTTCAGGAGAGCCCCCACCTCCGACCAAAGGACTGGCGTATGACCTTTATAGGAATGCGGTCGGGGGATGAGATTATATTCTACAAATAACTGCATTGACGTGCCCTTTGATGAGAAGAATGAGCCCACTTTCCAGGCTCATACCTCTGAAAAGGAGCTGAAAGAAGAGGAAGGGGAGTTTTAAGAATGCGATCATTTCCTTCCTGTCCATGTGATTTTTGTCTGAGGATGGTGAGAAGCAGCTAGTCTGGCCAGGTTCCGTCAAGAAATACTTGAGATTCAGGTAACTGGGGGCTGACACTTTGTCAAGGGCATTGTTTATCGACTAGGAACAATGGGAGGGTTAAGAAGCACGTGGACCTGTAAAATATCTTGGGTTGAGCTGGTGTAGAAAACCTCACTTGGACCATTTTTTTTTAAGTCCAAGTTAAAAATGAAAACAAGCCAACTCTCAAGCTTTCTCCCGAGAGATCTTGCCTGGGGAGAGGAGGGCTCTTAGGGTTGGCTGTTCTGTGACAGGTGACTATAAAGAACTATAAAGGGAATGAGGAATTTATGTCATGAGTGAGTGTAAGATCTGGTAGCTCAGAATTGCTGAGGTTATGACTGTTACAAAGTTCTTTCCTAATAAATGACCTGAGCGTATGATCCATCAGCCATGCAAATAGTATACACAGCCCTTCTTAACCCAAGGAAGTTGGAAAGGATAATGGGTCACATTGCATTAAATTGTCAAAGTGGGTGGGATATTCCGCTGAACAGAGGCTCTCTGTGAATTTGAGCAGATCTGTGGACCCAGTCCTTAAATATAGGGCGTCGGTTCTCCATTTTACAAGGTTACAATTATCCTAGTGTCCGTTGCTCTTAAGATGTGTGAATATGAAAACGTTTTGTGATCTATCTAGAGGCAGGGAGAGATGCAGATACCCTCTCTCCTTTTTAAACGTATTATTGGAGTGTGCCGTACAGAAGAGTGCGCACACAGTATGCACACAACTTGATAAATCTTCACAAAGTGAATATTCTTGAGTAACAAACACCCAGATCAAGAAACTGACATCATCCGCTTCCCAGAAGCCTCTCCTTCTCCCCCTTCCTAGTCACTCTCCATTCCCAAGGGTAACCATGACCATGAATTAGCCTTGCTTTCTGGTCAATTTCATATAAATGGAGTCATCCAGCATATGCGCTTTTTTTTATTATTGTTTTATTAAATGGAGGTACTGGGGATTGAACCCAGGACCTCATGCATGCTGGGCATGTACTCAACCACTGAGCTATATCCTACCAGCACTGCCGCCCCCCCTAGTGTGTCCTCTTTTTTGTCTTGCATCTTTTGCTTCCCACTGGTTTTGAGAGTCATCTGTGCTATTGCGTGTGGTTGCGGTTTGTTCTTTCTTATTGCTGAATTTCACGGTAAGACTGTACCTGAACGTATTTATCCATTTCAGTATACATGAGTACATGGATTATTTTCGTGTTTTGATAATCACGAAAATTCTTGAACATGCCTCTCCATGAGCACATGGACACGTCTCCGTTGGGTATGCACCCAGGAATAAAACGACTGCGGCCAGAGGACACGTACGTGTTCAGACTGGGTTAGATTCTGCCGAGCCATTTCCCCAATGATTCCGTGTACCCCATTACACTTCAGCCAGCAGTGGACGAAAGTTTCCTATTTTTAATAGCGTTTTTCAGGCATAATTTACATACCATAACATCCAGCGGTTGTGAATGTATAATTCAGTAAGTTTTAATAACAATATGAATGTGCAGGCACCATCACACTCCAGCCTGAGAACATTTTCATCACTGAAAGTTCTTAGGGGCCCATTTGCAGTCAGTTCTTTCTCCCGTCCTCAACTCCAGGCAACCTCTGACCTGCTTTTGTCTTTCACTTGACATGAGGATTTTAAGCTTTATCCACATTGCGTAGCATGTATCACTAG